TGCCGTTCCCTGGACAAGTAAGAGAAGGCATACGTGTATCATAATCATATCAGTTACTTTTTATAAATCTCTGCACCACTGCCAACTGACAGCCGGGTTAGTAGCGGTAGGGGTGCTTCTTTACTCGCTAGGAAGCCAACAGAGAGCATCAATACCCTCATCCCCTATTCATTAGTGTGTATAGCTGGTTAGCATGCCGGTCATATGAAGGGGCCAATATGCAATAAAATAGACAATTTAAGCACAAATAGCACGTCAAATCGATGCATATATAAATAAGATAAAACGTATGCTTATATCACCTTGATATCACAGTATGTCTATCAGGAGATAGGGAATTTCGCTGTGCTCAAATAAACGCACGATGCTCCACACTTCGACCGATGAAACGGAAAGAATGTGCATACCGGAAGAGTCCTGAATCCTCACATTGTGATTGGTCGAAACAAGCTACGACGTAATGACGTTCGAGTAAACGCATGCGAGATGACGTAAACGCCTAAGGAGCCACTGCGAAAAGTTTTAATGAGCCAAACGAGAGTGGAAAACTCAAACCTGAAATACGATCAGACACTCCTAAAGATTGTTGGGGGAAAAAATGGAATAATATGGCAAAACTCAGATGAGTCTAGTTGTTTCACTAGTTGTGAAGTATCTCACTAGCTATGAGGTTTTGAGTAAAAAAAGTTACACAAATGATTGTTTTCTTTATGTTGGTTTCAATCACTAAAACATAAAAGGACAAATTTTCTGAATTCTGTCCTAAAATCTAAAACGAAATCCCAAATATCATTATATATTTTTGTAATAGCTGTTGTATAAACACATTCAGACGAGTCAGGTGTATTACATGTGTCATACGGTGACCTCAAAAAGTATTTCAGACAGTTCAGCCACATTTACAATACAATGTAATTGCATTGGACAAATTATCAGACCAAGTGGCATATGTAAACAGATGATGCTAAAGCTTCTCTTAGAGCTAAATTCACTTCTCTGAGGCATTCTTGCAATTGCTTTTAACCAACTATATGTAAAGCCAAGATCACACATGTGTCCTACAGACTATCTTTAGTTGTAATGAATTACATTTACATTCACATTACACATGTTTAAATGTGGCCAAATATTTTGTGGGCCCTGCAACTGTCTTTGTTTTCTTACTGAAAAAAAAAAAAAATTACATTAACTGTTACTGCTGTTTAAGTCTCTAAATTATCTTACTGTAATAATAATGACTGTAATAACTTAAATAATATGCTTATACAGCAATTAATAATAAAATTTATTTTATTAACATTTACATTTATTAAAATTAATTATAAAATAATCCATCAGCAAGAAGATGGGAAGGAAGATGCAGCTGTCTTTGAAGGGACTTGCTGTGATGATGGCCTTCAGGTGGCTATAAAAGTCACAGCAAAGATGGAGAATGAGACATACATCCTGAGGTCAGAACAGTGGTGTAATGTAACGAAGTAATAATACTTCGTTACAGTACTTAAGTATTTTTTGGGAGTATCTGTACTTTACTTGAGTTTTTATATTTCAGCCAACTTTTACTTTTACTCCACTACATTTCCTAATTAAAGGTGTCATCCTTTTAATTTAGGTGATGTTACTAAAAAATAACATTATTTTGTGTATTTGGCGTAATGAAATGTGTTTATGCGGTTTAAGGTTAAAAAACACATTATTTTCCCCATACTGTACATTATTGTTTCTCCTCTATGCAATGTAATGAAAATCCTTCATTAAAAAGAAAATCCTTTCTGAAACGCGTCGATTTTTACAAAGCTCATCGGTCTGAAAAGCAAGGTGTGCTGTGATTGGCCAGCTATCCAGTGCGTTGTGATTGGCCGAATACCTCAAGCAGGTTAAATGCATCCATGTCCCCTCTGAGATACATTAAACTGTGTAAATACATCTAAATATCACTTCAGATGCAGATTCCAGAAATGTTTTCTTATGTTGGAATGAAAGAAACTAAGTACCGGAAGAAGTGTTTCTTATTCATACCCAAAAATGCTAAATGGAAGAAAGAGTTCAAACTGAACACACTCTTGCTACTCAAGCGGTGTATGAATTTTTTTATATATATATATATTTATTTGCTTCTTTTCCATTTTCCATTTACTTGTACTTTTACTTTTAATACTTAAGTACGTTTAAGATTTAAAAAATACTTTTCGTACTTAAGTACAATAAATATCAAATACTTTTAAGACTTTTACTCAAGTAATATTCTAAACGGTGACTTCAACTTCTACCAAAGTCATTTTCTGGTAAGATATCTGTACTTTTACTTGAGTATGGCTTTCAGGTACTTTATACACCACTGGGTCAGAGTCACACGCACCACATGGGTTACTTGACAGGGTACCTTTTCAGAGTTACCCTGGTCCCAGAGCTTCCTATCCCGGCTTGAAGGTTCCTGCTACTGCAACCCCAGAACCCGTTACGGTTCCACAGCTCTGTGTCATGGCAGCTCCAGTTGCAAAGCTTTCCAGAGGATCCTGACTCAACCAACCCGTCACACTGATGCCCGTCACGTCCTCCACAAAGGTTCCTCTCATGATGGCGCAGAGACTCCAAAGAAGTTCCAGCCAAGACCGCCCCAGTGTTTCCTGTAGTAGTCTCAGCCAGAGCTGGTATCCAAGCTGCTCCAGTCACAGAGCTCCTCTACAAACCTCCATGGTCCCAGAGGTTCCTGCTAAAGCCGCTCTGGTCCAAGAGGATTCTGTCACAGCTGCAGCAGAGGATCCTCTTACATCCTCAGTATTTCCTGTCACTGGTGTGCCACAATAAAAATACTTTGTGATTGTGAAAATACACAAAAAAATGTGTTGTTTTAACAGGTAAACATATGATCTGGAAATATTAACCATTTCTATTTCTATGCTTGAACTGTAGAGAGGTTAAGCCTCCTGTTCTACTAGTTTATATTTATCACTTTGAATGTATATTTGAAAAATAAACCCACCAGGTAAGTAATACCAGGTAAGGAGCATCTCAAAGAGGAGTCACATATGTGGCCCTCGATTTACTATTTGAAGCCCACATGGATATGGCAAGCCGTTTTAACATTTAATACACCTGGCTCTACTAGTCACAATTTAGTTTTGACTAGTAAAAAATTATAATTCCAGATATCTATTCCACAATTTTGCCTCGTTGTAATTGTAATTAAGGCATCTACAATGTAACTATGTAATTATGATTATGAATACAACGTAATTATAGTCATAATATACACTGACGATATCTACAGTGTTATTTTGACAAGCCAAAATATACACTGAAGATCATCCCGAGTGTGACGAGTTTCTGTTACAGAACTCGTTTGAGAGATTGTCAGGTTAGTGGGCCAAATTCTTACATGAATAAATAAATCACCATCACATTGCCCTGTAAAACATTGCCCTATGTATAAAACCTGCTCTGCAGTTGCCATTTAATAGATACAGCTTTTGACACTGTTTTTGGACTTTAATGTATGAACAGTATTACAGAAATTAAACAATTTAAGACTTCAACAAAGAATAAACAGTAACTTGTCACCAGTAACTGCCCTCCTGAATTATAATGTCATTTCACATATCTAGATATAAATGTATGATATACTTAGTCATAGAAACATAAATGACATCACCTACAGTATATAGATTAACACCAGCAAAACAAATTCCATAGATAAAAGATGCTTAATTAGGTTATTTTCACACTTCAGTCAACATTAAGGTACATAAAATAGTGCTGTAGAAAATGGAGGGACCCCACTGTAAATTCCAGAGATTGTTCTATATTTCTGCTTAGTTAGCTCTAAAAATGTAACTGTGTAGGATAATTTTCAGGTTTGTAAACATGTCTTGTATTGCTTTGCTACAAGGCCATATAGTCTTATCATCAAGACAAGGCTCACAAGTAACACAATGCATACAATTAAAATCCCAGTCAGAAGTGTTTTTACAGCACTTGTGTAGACAGCATATTTCAGCGTTTCAGTAACAATTTCATCATAATTAATGTAATCATAATAATTAGTTCACATTCAGAGTTCTACAAATGTGTCACATACTCTGTTCCAAAATCTTCTAAGGCAGCATCCCTGTCGTCTTGAAACCCCTAAGCGACTAATTAAAAAACACAGCAACTCTGTGCACCATACCAATAGGGTACTGCATAGAAGACTCAACTTGCAATCGATTTAAACAGTGTTCAACATCAGCATATATAAGAATAATACCCATAAATACAGCACACATGAATACAAGATAAAATATCACATTTTTAATTTGCCTCATCCACCATCTTGGACTTATTTTCACTCAAGATTGTATCAGTGTATTCTGGGATTGCCTGTCCACAAAGGATACATGCTATGCTGCCTTAAAATTGGGCTAAAATTAGGAATCTTAGGAAGCAGCATAACCACGTTGCTCACCTTTCAAAACAGCCTTTGTGTCAGAAGCATGCCTATGATGCCTTAAAATGTTTAAAAAACTAGGTTTTGGAACAGAGCAAGTGTGTGTAATTTGAGGGCTGTTGAATGAGATAAAGGGAGAGTTCTGTGCTCTTTGCATGCCATGCATAGTAATTCAAGAAGTACAACAAAAACTGATGAGAGAACCGCTTGTTTCATAGCTCAGTCATAATTTAGCCTATTTAGTTCTTGCTTGGGCTCGTATCACATTACAAAGTGGAGGTACATTTGAAGCAATACCACAGGGAGTTGGAAGCCATACAGATGGGTCACATGGAGTAAGACACGGTTCTTCTGCAGCTGTGTCCTGAAAGCAAGGCCACACCTTTCTATCTTTAGCCACACCCACACACAGGAGCCAATGAACTTACTGCCAGTATACCAAACCATACTCATATACCAATGAGTACACCTGTCAATCAAAGAAAGGATTCACCAACTGGTCCGGTGAGAGATTCAGAAGAAGCACTAGGAAGAAAGTGAGAGAAACAGATAAGAGAGAAAAAGATAAAGGGAGAGTTCTGTGCTCTTTGCATGCCATGCATAGTAATTAAAGAAGTACAACAAAAACTGATGAGAGAACCGCTTGTTTCATAGCTCAGTCATAATTTAGCCTATTTAGTTCTTGCTTGGTCTCGTATCACATTACAAAGTGGAGGTACATTTGAAGCAATACCACAGGGAGTTGGAAGCCATACAGATGGGTCACATGGAGTAAGACACGGTTCTTCTGCAGCTGTGTCCTGAAAGCAAGGCCACACCTTTCTATCTTTAGCCACACCCACACACAGGAGCCAATGAACTTACTGCCAGTATACCAAACCATACTCATATACCAATGAGTACACCTGTCAATCAAAGAAAGGATTCACCAACTGGTCCGGTGAGAGATTCAGAAGAAGCACTAGGAAGAAAGTGAGAGAAACAGATAAGAGAGAAAATGGACAGGAGTGTGTTTTTTTTTTTTACACACTTCAATTTTTAATGTAGATTCATCTTTAATGTTGATTCCCTCAACAGTGTATACCTGTGACTATGGCACTATTTAGTTTGTTAGAGCATCCTGACCAGTCCCTCACAGAAAACAGACTTAACAAATGGTGTGAGCATTGTTATTCCTTTCAGAAATATAAATATACAAATTGCTCAAATATATGACTGGTCTGTATTGTGTTATATTAATTTAATAATAAGCGTCTTGGTGGGCTTCCATCTCTTTCCCCATAATTTATTGTCCACTCTGTACTATGAATAAAAATGGCCCAGAAATGAACTAATAATAATATGTGTGCTTGTGATCCACAACTGGAGAATGTGGCACGTGAAAGATGCAAAGAAAGTGCAAAAATGAAAATGCAATAGAAAACATCTATAGTACACTGCAACAATACTGCTTCACATTTTAAATAAAAAATGATTCCAGTTTAACCCATTATGAAATATTTGAACATTAAACATCTCAAACACAGACTCACCAGGGTTATCAATAACTTAAACTTAAATTAAAAGGAAAAAATACAACATAAAATCATGTTTGTCATTGAAAAAAGTAACAGAAATAAAATAAAATATTAAAAATTATTTCATATTTAATATATTAATTATATTTCAGCTAGTTGCAAAGGAATTATTTCTCATTTTCATTTAGATTAACTTGAAGTACTAAAATAACTAAAAATAAACCTGAAATAAAAATGGGGGGGGGGGGCATAATAAAAATGACAAAAACACAAAACTAACAAAACTGACAAAAACACAAAACTAAATTACTAAAACTTTAACCACAATTAGAATAAAAATAGTGAATATAGAAATAAAGACAAATTCAAAATATGAATAAAAACTGTAGCAGTATCTCACTGATACTAAATTAATACTGACACTCACCCTCTATTGCGAACAATATCCTGAACACACTGATCTTTGTGGTATCTCACAAACTGTGTACAGGTCAGTCGTATTTCCTCAGTAACAGCAGCAGACTCAAGGCTTTCATCCTCACCAAAACCACACAGAGCAGCCAGCCTACAAACACAGAATGCCGCTGCTGAGGCTACATCCAAAAATTGTCACAATAGAGTCTAGAATAATAACACAAACATGGCTGATTTACCGCTTTTTGAATGGAAGAATAATAAGATGCTCATCCAACCCAAAAATTGCAAAGGAAATAAAACCCTGATGGAGAAATAGGGTATTTTAAATATTAACACCATCTCTTCATATGTATCGAGCTGTTATAAGTTTGCAGTGAGAATTGTGTGACTGTTGTCACCTGTCCATAATTGGCTACAGCACAAAAGAACTGCAGTTCGAGGTAAAGTCGTCCTGGATCAGCACTGAACAACCACCACAGACAGCTGGACAGGTTCTGAAATATACAAATAATCAGTCCCAAATATAAAAAAGATTTTTGGAGGATGTTGTAAATAGTGGTCAGAGTATAACTGACAATGCTTCATGGTGCTTACTTCATTATGCATGTGTATGTATGTGTTTTTTGGGAGTGTATGTCTTTCTCATACAGTATGTGGAGTGGACATACAGCCAGCATGCTGACAACGAGGAGCAGGCAGAGGAGCACATGTCGAGCTATCTGTCTCTCCTCCTGCACACCTGAAGAGCTTGACGCCTCTCTCAGGAAAATCCCTAGAACAGAAACATGCTTTTCCCTGATGAAACTTTATTTAATAACTTGATGAGAGTGAAATAAAAAAATATTTCAACCTGCTGAAGGCACTGGCGAGTCGTTAAGATGCCCAACTATCATATCTGGCATGGGTTCACTACAACAAACATCTGTCAACAACAAAGAAGTTATACTACACATACATTCTAGAAATATGCACATAATTGGAAATGCACTACTGTCACTGTACTAAAAGGAATAGTTCACCCAAAATGAAAACCACCCACAGGCTATCCAAGATGTAGGCGAGTTTGTTTCTTTACTGCAACAGATTTGGAAAAAATTTCGCATTACATCACTTGTTCACAAATGGATCCTCTGCAGTGAATGGGTGCCGTCAGAATGAGCTCACACAGCTAACAAAAACATCACAATAATCCACAAGAATCAATTAATGATAGATTAACTTCTTACAAACATGCAACTTTTCACTTCACAAGATGTTAATTGATGGACTGGAATTATGTTGATTGATTATGGATTATTATGATGTTTTTATCAGTTGTTTTTATCAGCTCTCTCTGACGGCACCCATTCACTGCAGAGGATCCACTGCTGAACAAGTGATGTAATACTAAATTTCTCCAAATCTGTTCTGATGAAGAAAAAAACTCATCTACATCTTGGATGGCCTTAGAGTGTGTACATTTTCAGAAAATATTATTTTTTTGGGTGAACTATTCCTTTAAAGGGATAGTTCACGCAAAAATGAAAATCTAACATTATTTTCATTATTTATTCAACGTACGGTTTTTTTTGTCCATACAAAGAAAGTCATTGGGGTCCAGTGTTGTTTTGAACTGCAGTGACTTTTATTACTCAGACAAAAACAGCTGAAACATTCTTAAAGGGGTCATATGTTGTTGCTAAAAAGAACATTATTTTGTGTAATGAAATGTGTTTTTTTCGGTTTAAGGTTCAAAAAACATTATTTTCCACATACTGTACATTATTGTTTCTCCTCTATGCCCCGCCTTTCTGAAACGCGTCGATTTTTACAAAGCTCATCGGTCTGAAAAGCAAGGTGTGCTCTGATTTGCCAGCTATCTAGTGCGTTGTGCTTTGCCGAATACCTCAAGCGTGTGACGGAAATGTTACGCCCCTACCATACTGTGATGGCGTGTCCCGGCCGGAGCGACGAGACAAAAACATTAAAACCCATTATAAACGAGGCATTTGTTGCATTCAGTGGAGGCATAATTACGGATTATAATGACTTAAACTGTCTTTTTTTCGCATTAAACATAAAACCATGTCTTCATTTGTGATCGGAGAAATGACAAACAACAAGCGCTACTCTACACTGCTCAAAACTCGCGTTTGAATCATCAGTGGCAAATCCTTAAAATGAAAACGTAACGTTACTTACAGTCTGTGAGTCAGAACAGCCGCACTGTAGTCTACGCTACCAGGATCAGGAAACTCCTCCATAAAATGTGCTGCACACATCTGAATATTTAGGTTGAACTGTTCTGGAACAGTGTTGTAAATACAACTTAACCACTGATTTCTAGTCGTGTCCTCTTTTGGAAGGCCAAACAAAGTACTTTCACACGACGGGCTTGAGAATGGCGTGGCTGGCGGTCTTGCGGCAACCACATGTGACGACCCCGGGCTGGACTCCGCTTCGTCCACGGTGAAAGCCGATCCGGCTTTAAAAATATAGTTTGTGTTCCGCAGAAGAAAGAAAGTCAGATTTGGAATGACATAAAGGTGAGCAAATAATGAATAATATCATTTATGGGTGAACTATCCCTTTAAGTTAGTTGCTTTTTTACTTTTAGTTCCCCAATACTGAATATACAGTGGGTACGGAAAGTATTCAGACCCCCTTAAATTTTTCACTCTTTGTTATATTGCAGCCATTTCGATTCTGTGTTTTTCTGTCAATATGGGGTGCTGTGTGTACATTAATGAGGAAAAAAAATTAACTTAAATGATTTTAGCAAATGGCTGCAATATAACAAAGAGTGAAAAATTTAAGGGGGTCTGAATACTTTCCGTACCCACTGTACGCACATGCATACAGCAGAAATATACAGTTACCTGTGTTAAGGCTGCTGTAGGTTTGCTCGAGCTCAGATGAGTGCTGGTTCTCTGTCTGGGCTTGTCTCACATCTTCTGATGTGCCTGTCACGGAGTTTTGATCTAGGGCTTGATAGTTCTGCTCCTCCTGGGCCCCTCGGCTCAAACCCATCAAAGACAGACCACCCAGCATGATGCTGCAACCCAGAACTACCACAGTACACACAATCTGAAGAAAAAGAGAGAATGGAAGGGGGGTGGGGAAAGAAACAAGTTAATAGACAGACACAAATAAATTGTGACATGCATTGTGAGGTTTTGTATAAACACAGTCAAAAATCCCAACCTACCTGCCCCTTGCCATAAAAGAATGCGGAGTCCAAGTTGTCACTCATTCTTTGTCCTACCATGAGTAGCCCACCCACAATCAGAAAAGGAACTCTAAGATAGACAACATTAAAACACAAAAGGTGTTTTCTCCAATGAATTTGCAGTTCTGCGGTATAATTTCCAGTCAGTTTCAAAGCATAATTTAATGTAATGTCATTTAATTTAATTTAACTTGGAAAATAAACAAATTTATGAATTTATTTTTGAATAAATACACACGCATACACACAGACACACACATATATACTCACCCCCAACCAAAGATGATGAAAAAGATAGGTTTCACTTTCAAGTTTTCATTTCTGCCCAATAAAGTAAGAGCGAACGCCAAAAGACCTACAACACAATATCTACACAACTGCTAAACATCGCTACAACTATACAACACAAAGGAGATGTACTGCAACCTAAAATCACACAATGAAAATGACCCTTATCCATAAAGTATTGTTTAATGTGTGTGTGTGATGATTCATTACCTGTCCATATGTAGGTACTGTAAAGAGACCCATAAAGCAGAGTAAAGGTGAGAATTTGGCCAAACACGTTCCCCTGCTTCAGAAAAATCTTCCACAACATCATTGACACGCACGCTAGTAGCTGCATTAGAGACAAAAAACATAGCATACTTAGGAATACCATACTGAGGAAAAATATGTTAGAACAACTTGCTGGTTGCCAGGGCATTGCTTTATGGCTGCTAAGGTATTCTGTTTTTTAGTGTTAGAGTATTTAGGGTAGTTGCTAGTCAAAAGATCCCTCAACAAGAGGTATGATTTAGGTCCCTCATTCAGTATATGTCTATAGAATAATGAATGTCTGTCTTTGTGCAAAATTATGTACCTGTGCTAAGAACAGATTTGTGGCAAACATATGCGGCAGCCTCCTAAACTTCTTACTCAGTAGCATGACAGCAAGGGTCCAACCCTGCAACACACACGCACACACACAAACATTCTGGTAATCCAGATTTTGTAACTCATTGTTTCTGGGATCACATATTTCAGATATTTCTCTGTTTGATGTAGAACCTTTGATTTCTAATCCTCTTTATTATATTATATATTTATTATACTATATTATTAAATAGGCCTATGTTCTCTATGGTTACACGTGCATATTAAGCCAGGTCTTTCAAAGCCAGATCTGCTCTCAAATATATAAAACATAAAAAGAAACCTAGAAACCTGAATAAAATAGAATAGAATAAGTGAACAGGATAGAAACAGAAACAAAAAAACAGATAAGACAGAAGAGGACTTGAACAGAATACTCTAGACTAGAATAGAATAGACGTAAACCAGAAGAGACAGAAGATAAAAAAACAAATAGAAAATAATAGAACAAAACAGAACAGAATAAAATAAAATAGACAGAAGAAGAGAACAGAACGGAATAGAAGAAGGAGTGAACCAGACCAGAGAGAAGCAGTGAACAGAATAGAATTAAGTGAACAGGACTGAATAGATCAGAAGTTAACCAGAAGAGACAGAAGAAGGGAAGTGCACCTCACCTGAATAGAATAGAATAGAATCAGAAATAAACCATAAGTAACAGGAGAAGAGAAGAAACCTTCAATTAAATAGAACAATAGACAGACAGAAGTAAACATACAGAACAGAATAGAATCAGAAATGAAACATAAAACACAGAAGAGAAGAGAAGAGAAGAGAAGAGAAGAGAAGAGAAGAGATCAGAAGAGAAGAGAAGAGAAGAGAAGAGAAGAGAAGAGAAGAGAAGAGAAGAGAAGAGAAGAGAAGAGAAGAGAAGAGAAGAGAAGAGAAGAGAAGAGAAGAGAAGAGAAGAGAAGAGAAGAGAAGAGAAGATATCTAACTGAATAAGTCTGTAAGCAAATGACATGCGTTCTTTTACATATTAACCCACACACACTCACCAGGGCTATTAGGCTGACAATGCTGATGTTAAAGCTCACGTCCTGCAGCTCCGTCACCAGGGATGTGGCCTCCATCCACGGAATGGTCAGTAACCATGCCGACACATACATGATGGGCGCTGATAGGAACGTGCTAATGGCCATACCAGAGGTCACCTACCACACACAATACACTTGTACTGATTTGTGTTGGCTAAATGTTTAATAGCAATGACTGAGTCTGAGTGACATTTGCAGGAATTCATTCATTGCTTACCACCTCCAGCTCCATGTTGTACTGGACAGCATATATGGCCACACTGGGAGCGGTAGGGAAGACTCCATAAAGGAAAGCATAATCAGACAGGCTGGAGTGATTTACAGAGCTGGAATTACCAGCATCCAACAGCTCCACCATGTCCTTACACAACAATGGCATAACTAGTCTGGAAAACAGAAACACACAGTCATAAATCTGTCTAAATTGTATGGACCAGCACTCAAATAATATATTTATGCATATGTTCAAGATCTATGCATTTTAATAGCATATAAAATTTACATTATTTGCATTGCACAGTTATAACAAAAAACAACGTACTAAACTTAATGTGATGCATATTTGTTAGTCATACATAAAGGAAACAAGAATGAGATTTATGTAATAATAGTACTAATAAAGCAAATATGTTTTAAATACACAAGAACCAGGTTTATATACAGTATAATATTTTTATAACAGTTTATATACAGTAAATCAAATACATGATCTCATACATTTTAAATGACTGCATCTTGCTTGTTCCACAGTTAGCCATATTTAAATAATGTTCTGACTTTTAAATGATTAAATTTAATTATTTATTTGCTGATTGTAAATATTTTGAATAAATACATAAATATTATTAATTAAAATCAAATACAATGAAAAAATTGCAGCCTGATGATCAGTCTTATTTCAGTATTATTTATATACTGTACTATTATAAACTATTCATATTTTTCAATTAGATTTTATTTTTATATTTTCAGCTTTCCTTTTTATTTTAGGTTAAGTTTTAGTAATTGTGTTATGTGCTTTTGTTATTTTTATTAGTTTTATGTTTTTAAATGTTTCTTTTTACCTTTAATTTAGGTCACACTTTAGTTTGGGGACCAATTTTCACTATGACTTTTGCTTCAATAAACTCCTAATTTGCTGCTTATTAATAGTTAGTAGGGTAGTTGTTAAGTTTAGGTATGGGGCAGGATGAAGGGATGTAAAATATGGTCGTGCAGTATAAGGCATTAATATGTGCTTTATAAGTTCTAATAAACAGCCAAAATGCTAGTAATATGCATGCTAATAAGCAACTAGTTAATAGTGAGAATTGGTCCATAAACTTAAGTTTTACTGTCTACTTTTAGCTAACAATAACAACACTGCTGATGATAAATATGACACATTGGTCTGATAGTAAAATTTGCTACAACTGTTATAATCTTAGCAACCTCATAAACCAAATAGTGTGGAGTTCAAAACTACAATCTTCTGGTCCCAGATCTTCAACCGCTATGCCAAAACACCCCACATACAACTAATTTTCACTCACAGTTTGGCAGTGATAAGCAGGATGAGGGAAACCCCAGTGCTGCGTGTGAGTTTACCCATCTGTCCCACCATGTTCAGGCCCAGATAAAAGAGTGCCGCCCCTCCAAAAGAGTTTGCCAGTCCATCAACAAACTCTCCTAGCAAAACAGGCACACGTCCACCAAACAGGAAATGAGAGAGAATTCCAACAATAACCATGAAGACTATTGGGTTCTTCAAAACCTGAAAAAAGAGGAAAGATTAGAATAACGTAAAAAAGGATGACATCAACAGAAACTTCTGGATCAAGATAAACACACGCACCTGCAGTATGACTGTAAAGATCACGTGCAGTTTGCTGTAGTTGCGGTCATTGGTGTGTCTCCATCTCTGAATCTCACACAAAGCAAAGCCCACAGGGTTCAACAGCATCAGAGACACAGGAGCCACCAAATATATATACTGCATATACTCTGGGTGCGAAGTCCTGTACAGCGCATCCACTGTATGAGGAAAATTATCTCATGATTATTGACACAATATCAATTTTTTTGTACACAACCGTATGTGCATGTGTACTTTAGATGTATTTCTATGTGAGGAGATCCTCACCTATAGGATATCCCAGTGCAAAGTCATTGCTCTGAGTGGCAAAGATAGCAAACAGCCCAGCTTTACTGTATTTGCTCTCAGGATTTGCCACCAACAGCGTCAGCACACAAACTAGCAAGAACACACACACTTTTGCGATCAAAATGCTCCATAGAAAAGACCAGACGACATGCTCAAACTGCAGCTGCACCATGTTCTTGAAGAGCAACGCAGGAAGTGCGAAACATGACACAAAACTTCCCAGGCCTTTGACCTGTCCGACGCTGATGATGTCACTGAGACCTGCCACATAGCCACACAGGATGATGCCAAAGCACTCCAGCAGAGCCGGGAAAAGTTTGTCGATAGACATGGCCGGTGCTCCAAGAGGGCTGTGAGTGATGTTGAGGCCATGAATGGTGACATACTGGCCCTCCATGATGATGAGGTTGACAGGGACCACTGAGAGATGATCTAACGGTGCAAATCAGAAAGCTAGGAATAAAAAACAGTCAGAGAGAAGGAAAAACCTCTGTGAGATTCAAAGTCAGGGCTCAACAAAAGAACGGCTGATCTAAATGCCACTGTTTTCTAGCAAAAGTGCGTTTATGAATTTGTAGCTGCCAAGGACTTCAGCTATAAATTATAAAAATACATTATATTAATATATAAAATAAACAAAAAAGTTTATTGCTGTAACTTGTTTTTCTAAATAAATGGCTAATAGTAAATCAGAAATATATTATTACAGTTCTTAATATTATTGTTTTGTTATTATTATTATTAATAATAGATTACCTCGCCTACTACCTACAACAACAGTAATTACAATAATAACATATTATTTTTAATTATCGGCAAAAAATAATAATAATAATAATACAGTAGTATAATATTCGAAGTCTTAAAATAAATTACCAAAGGTGTTATTATGATAAATAAGGCCACTGAATGCAGTCAAATCAGCTACATTTATCATCTGTACTACAGACGTTTCACTCTTACCTTGCGAGAAAAACAACAGATATATAACTGTTGTCGATGACGTACCATGTGTTCACGTGTCGAGATGGTCGATACATGGACTAAATATCACGTTGTAAAAGAAAAACACGGCCGAAACATGCTTTCACTCTGCTCACAGCATCTCCAGCGCTTCGGTATTCCGTTACTTTCAACGTCAAATCACTGAATGACTGACGCGTGAGTCCGCCTATGTCGTTGCAAACTCCGCCTTATTTCGTCTGGTGATGTCGCTGATTGGTGGAAATGTTAGAGTATATGCTGATATTCACGGAACATTCTCAAGTGATTGGCCAGAGTCATGCGCGCTAGTGGATGGGAGTCATTTTGCCTCTATTATTAGTAATGAAGGAATCTGTTGAGAGAATTCCACAAGGCCTTGTTGACCACATATTTCTTTTTTTTAAATAATTGGTTTCTTTTAATTTATAAAAAAAACACACACACACACACAATAAATAAAATTGCACTGAAATTATAAAGAACATGCTTACAAAATTCATTAAAGTTGTCTACTGAAAATGCAAGAAGAGCTTAAAAAGAACTCAATACTGAAATGTGTTATTTTAATGAAAGGAAAAATCCAGCTTCACTTGCATATTTATTTAGAAAACAACATATTTGGCACACCAGAATAGCAAAGACTGTTTGTAATAAAGTAAATATACAAATTAAACAACATAAAATGTTGTATGAAATGTGCATCTACGAGCACAAAGAGAACATCTAAAGTACCACATTAAGACATAACAGAACATAAATCAGAGGACTTAATAATGTTGGTGGCAAATATTGTTTCTTTTTGGCTGTGCAATCATCTCTCTCCTCTCTAATAAATTCAAGATGCTTCAGATACATTGCATATATCACTGAAATTTTCCTTTTTAATGTTTAATTAAAAGGCCTTTGTAAGTCATCTCTTTATGTAAACAAACATAAGGCAGCATAAACCAAGCCACTGCTTGGCTTCTTGATTCTTTCAAAGTATATAAATGAAGAAAACAAATGAAAAGTAATTCAAGGTATGATATACGTATTGAATATACTTTTAGTCAAGCGCTTTAGGCAAATATAACAGCACACATCTGAGAAATATCCATAAGGCAACATAATACTGAGCTAACATTAACAAAGCAAACAAGTGCATACGTATATCATAAAATATAACACTTCTTAAACACATTTTTGGCTTTTTGGCTTACATCAACACAGGTACAATTTCAATACACAGAAACCCACTTGTATAGGATTTTAAGGCAAAAATCATTTTTCATTTAAAGATCAGTCATATACAATGTCAGCTCTCAGGCTTGTTTAAATGGGGGATGATCTAAAGAGTCTTTAATAAAGGACATCTACATTTGCCCATAAACTCAGTCCTTGCTATTTTCACATCAGGGACTGCATATGTGAACAAATCAATCTGCAAAATAGAGTACTGACAGACTGCAACTCTGCTTATTGGAGAGAATTTAGCATTCTAACATTTTGGCCCTAATCACCACATTCACATACTGGTATTAAAGCAAACACACACACACACACACTCTCTCTCTTTTAATATTTTAAGTGACTTTTTCAGTCTGATAATTGTTCTAGCTACCTGACATTTTACCTTTGAGGGATTGAAATGCCAATGCTATATAACTACTGTGTTGTATGAAAACAGGAAGATAGGGAGCGCCAAAACCCACCAAAATGCTTTAAAATGAGAACTGTTGCACTTCTTCTCAAAATATAATTCTGTATGAGACAAGCACATAAGTGCACCTGCAATAGCAAAAATAAGTGACAGCCAAAAAGCCGAAACATTCACACTCTCCTGAAGGCCAATGAACTGCTGCAACAACTCATCATACTCAGACAAATACTCAAAAATAAAGTCAAACTTAGCTGTAGTATCACTGTAGAGCTCATCACTTGACATACTCATAATAGCCATTATGTATTAATCTCTAAAGCAAACAAAAACAAAATAATATAAAACATATGTTGTCTGTAATATAACACAATATGTTGTTATTTTTATAGTTCTTTTATAGATGTTTTTAATGAATGACTCTGGCAGAAAAATATCAAAAACAGACAGTAACAGAGAAATAAGATAATTGGATAAGGATTGTCAGGCCCTGAGACAACAGTTTCTTTCACCTAGGTATGGGGGGCAGGGGAGGTGCACCTCGCTCTTTCTTTCCTGAACCTGAAACAGACAGAAATATACAAACACACACACAGGCACATAAACAAATGGGTAAGACCATGATTGTGCTGAACGCACTGAATGTTATTCGACGTATTCATTGGCATGTGGAAGCGACAGCTGCGGGTTGGTTTTGTCTATGTGCATAGCAACAAAACCGGATAAGATGAGAGAAAACAGCTGTGGTTGGTTACCTCGGCTTTCGTTCCTGGACATTTTGCTAGGATAGGCCTTCTGACAGGGAATGTAGGGCTCTGGGGGTGGAAGATCCGATACAGGTCGGAACGTGAAGCGTGATTCCCACTCATCTTGGAAAAACAAATTAAAGGCAAACACCATTAATCTCCAGCATTACCTACTTATGAATCTATGTTACTTACAGTGTTATTTACAGCTTAATAGGAGTAAATGAAATTACAAGGAACATGCCTGGTTCAATACATGTTCTATTGACAACATATGTGAAACGCCAACAATTACCCCCAAATAATTTGACTGACCCGTCAGTTTGTAAAAAAACATGTTTACAGTAATGCACTTACAATAGAAGTATATAGGGGAAGGCATTCTGAAATTTAAAAGTAGTAATGTGAACTATTTATGTAAAAGCCCCTTCATTTATTTTTCCATTGAAATATTTTTATTATTTGAGCTGTAGTTAAAATTGTTTAGTGGTGAGACTACTGTTCTAAGGTGATGATGTTCTTGGTTATTAGTTTAGCCCTAAAGTATACTTTACGTGTATTTTACGGTATGTGTTCAGTGTGCATGACTTACATTTCATCATCAAACATGCATACTGCACATGTGCAGACAGATTTTTCTTAACATGCATACTCTACGCTCAGATGGCACATGCGCCTTGAATTGTTTTGCACTAATTAGGTGGCGACACTGCCCCGGTCTTGGTTTCACAGTCAGAAAAATGGAGGAGACAGAACAACAACAAAGACCGAAGCAAAAATAGTTGACAATCCATAAAAATCCATCATACAGTCTCCACTATGGCACTGGCATATGATGCCACCAGTAAAATGGTCTACTGAGTCTGGTGTGGAAGAATCTGACTAGCCTGCACAAGTCCAGATCTCAAAAGCATTGGGACGAAATGGAACATGGTCTGCAAACCAGATTCCAATGTCCAACACTATCCCTGATGCTGTAATGTCTGAATGGGAACAAATCCTCACAACCATGTTGCAACATCTATTGGGCAACCATCCCTGAAGAGTGGAAGCTGTTATAGCAGCAAAGGAACAACCAATTCCTTATTAATGCCAATGGTTTTGAGATCAAATGTTCATCAAGCAAATGGGTACAGTGTACCCATGGTGTACAGTCTTATGGTAAATTATACCAATGCAAAACAACTAAATCCTTGACATTTATTCTTGGTAAACTCTACAAGACTCGTTAACATGTGTATAGGAATGTCACAATACCTATATGATGTCCCTGATTGTGGTATCCATTGCCCATAGGTGGGGGAGGAGGGGGCAGAGGTCCAGAGGAGGGTCTGTCTGGTGGGAGCGGTGGTCTACTGCCACCACGGTGAGGCTCCACACCTGGTCTGTTTGGCGGAAGAGGGGCTGGTGATGACCTCACACTTCCTCCTCCTGGACGGCCAGAAAGAGGTGGAGGTGGAAGAGGACCTGTGGACAAAAAGACAAAGACATAATATAAATGATCAAACAGGTAAATTTCAGATTATCCTGCAACAACCTGCAACTTCTCCTCTACCTGTTCGTCCACCTGCATTCCGGCCCAATGCGGGCGGTCTCTCAGAAGGAGGTGGAGGAAGTGGTCCGGATCGCCCAGGTGGAGGGGCGGGAGGATGCGAGCCAAGTGACAGGTTCCGTTCAGGAAGGCGTGGTGTATGCTCCTCAGGAGTAGATGGGTTTGGGCGTCCTGGAGGCAGAGGAGGTGCTGCACTAACAGGTGGCCGCAGAGAGGCAGGAGCTGGAGGAGGAGTTGGTTTACTACTTGCTGATGGTGGAGGTGGAGGGGGCGGGCTGTCCCGAGTGAGTGGCAAAGAAGAACGGTTTGCAGGGGGAATAGGTGGAGGACGGTCATCACCTCGACCAGGTGCAGGGGGAGGAGGCGGCCGTCCAGCATGACCAGCTGAGGGTGAATGAACGGAAGGAGGACGACTAAATGCAGCTGGCACCGGTGGAGGTGCAGGCTGCCGCCCAGGAGGGTTTGGAGGTGGAGGGGTTGGTGCGGAACCAAGGCGAGGAGTCCCTGGAAGTGAGGGTGGTCCCCTGCTCAGTGCCCCACTCTGAAAGGGCCGTGGGGCACTTGGAAGCGGTGGAGGAGGTCCTCCAGGTGTTTCAGGATGCGGTGGGGTCATTCGTGGGCGAGGGGGGTCAACGGATTCACTGCGTTGCATAGGTAGACGATGGGCGGTGCCAGATCCTCCTCCGAAGGGCCGTGGACCAGAGCTACGAGCACCAGGTGGCAGAACTGGAGGCCTGACATTACTGGAGTCTGTAAGAGAGAGCAAATAATCTAATAAAAAGAGGTAACCTAACAAATGCAAGGTCATTAAATACATTTTTCACCGTTTTCTAAAGTAAATATTATACTTTATTTTATGAATATATAAGGTCCATAATTGGGATTGGCCAAAATTTCTATATCGTAAATCCCTGTTGAATGAATGAGTTGGAATGTGTCAGTACACAGTAGTAGTATATAGCAAGCTTTAGTAGTATGTTTGATATACATGTGTGCGTTCTTACCATCTCGAGTGGAGCGCAGCTTTGGCATGCCTCCCTGGAAGAGCCCACCCAGACCAGCTGGAGCTCCACCTCCACCTCCAAACCCTCCCCCTCCTCCAGGCCCACCTCCTCCTCCACCTCCACCACCACCTTTGGGTTCTGTCAAAACAAACATGTATTTAATATTTTGGACTGGAGAGCAAACCCGCAACCAATAAGTGTTGCTACTCATTATACATGCAAAAATCATTAACATACAAAGGAGTTTAGAAAGTACAGCATAAAAGAAAACCTGTTTAAATATATGTGTCATATTAAAATTAATTGCGGCTGTTTTGGTGCATAGACAGTGTATAGCCAGCGTAACTCCATAAGGTGCAGGTTCTTACTGTCAAGTATGGGGGCGCTACGGTCATTAGTAACCGCCCTCTTTAGCCTTGCTCCTTTGCTGATGTCCGACAGTAGAGCATTCCTGCCCTGCTGCGCCGATTTATTCAAGACAGGCTTCTCAGTGTTTGCCTGTGAGAAATAGAAGCACAGATATTTTCTGTAGAAATCATTAAAGCACTGGTGCCCCACAGCTTTACCACTTAAGACTGGAACACACTAAATTACTTTTGCCTAATTTGCAGTCTAGAAGAGTCGAAAATAGTTGGCAAAAGTCAAAGCCAGTCTGCAGATTTTGGGCAGACGAGTTAACAGATTTGACAGAAAATCACAGTGTGTCTCCAGTTTTTGTTTTGGCTTCAGACTATTATGTCTTCCAGTCCATCCATATATAATATGCTTGATATTTTGAGCCAGTTTTAGAACACGTATTGTTTTCATTTGTCATGCCTCTCCTAGCAACGAGGTGCTTGTTTCTGTGAGAAGTTATTGTATGCAAAACTGGTAGTGTGTGATCATTTAGTGTATGATGCCCAGTTTTTCTCTGTAACCATTTTCAAAGTGTATGATGCCTAGGGTTTTAAAATCTGTTTTAGATTTTGAAGGTTGTGTAGTGTATTTATTGTGTGTGCTTATTTGTGTGTGTACCTGAGAGAAGGTGGGCGGTGGCGGAGGGGGAGGTGGAGGAGGTACCGGCATTTTTTCTCCTTGTCGTCACCTCCTCTCACTGAGTCCTGACAAACATAAAGAGATTTTTTTATATTTTTAGAAGAAATTGTGTTTCTTGTTGCCACAATATTGAGTGGTTTCCAGAGTGATGTTACGCAGTTGCTAGGGTGTTCTGGGTGGTTAGTTACTTGCATTAAAAATGTTTTTCAAATAAAAAAAGCAATTATTATTAAAACAAATGTAATTTTTGAAAACCTTTGAAATAATTGTTTATTATTTCTTAGAAAAACACCAATTACTTCTTAATTCATGATAGTTCTAAAAAATTACTTTGAAAAATATATGTACATTTTTATATACTGTTAATTACAAATTTTAATGTTTATTTAAAATATATATATTACTAAAAAAAATTATGTTTCATCTTCAAACAAGCCTCAGAAGTATTCATTGGTCAAGCATACCATAAGTGCCTCCTCTGTACACATGTAGCCTATAATGTGACACTGACATTGCGTCACATGAGCGTTTGATTGCTTGACAGGAGTTTCATTACATTGCAGCACATATCCATCTTAATAAATATTCGTACACACAAGTAGCTGTCATGTGACAACTGTGTCTTTGACCTTGAAATAATAACAGTGGTGCTTGAACACCACTATCAGGAAACCCAACTGTAGCATGAATAGAAATAACATCATCACACTTTTCAGGTTTAAAAAAAAACAGACCTGAGACATTCATTAAATCATTGGTACTAATCTAACCACACCACATGACCCTACTAAAGTGGTCTCACACAGCCGCAAAGTTTTGAATGGGTTTGACAGTAAGTAGCGAGTCTTGAAATGTCCTATTGTGCTATATATCAAGATCCCTTTTTGGGCATGCAATGACAACATAAGGCCATAACAAAAAAATAAGGTAATTTCTGAAATGTAGAAAGCATACTGTAATAGACTAGTTCTCGTAATATTCTCTCACACACTCAAACAACTAATACAGTAATGCCAACAATTACAAACTTTCAACTTTTCTCTGAGTTCAAGTTTGATAAAGGCCTCTCACTGCTAACAACCGGAAGAGATCATAAACAGGAAGAGCTACAGCAATATACCTCTCACTTCTCATTCTCTATTTCATGAACGCACATCCACATTAGTTAATATCATGCAGACAAAGGTGGCAAAGAAACAACAAAAGGTTAAAAACCACAAGTGGGAACACAGAATCTATGAGACTCAAAGAGAACAAGTTAACACACAAATACCCAGAAACACACAGTTTACAAGCTCTTTAAAGCGTCTGCTCTTTCATCATCAAGATCTCTTAAGGGCGTCTTACGGACAGCCACATCCCACTACTTCATTTGTCGCTCTTTCTTTTACTTCCTCTCTCTCTCCTTCTCTCTCCCTCTCTCAGGTATTTTTATTCAGAGGTAAGCGGACATCCGGTCAGTTTGGCAAACGTTCTGATCACTGTAAAGTGAGCAAACTTCCTTACATCACTTAAGTAACATTCAAGAGCCATGCAAGCTTAAGTATTTTAAATGTATTTTAAAGGTAAAGTGATGTTAGAATTATTTCTCGTATTGCAGCTTAACATCCAGACAACTAGTGTAAATACTGTGTGGCACTTAAAAAAACATTGCTCTGTTTTGTTTTAGCACCCCGACCAGGGGTGCATTTCCCAAAAGCACTGTTAGCCAACAATGGTCACAAGTTCTGTCATTACAACATGATTCAATGATTTGACATTTCCCAAAACCATAGTTTCAATGAATATTTGCAAAAGGCAAACAGCAATGACTGGGAACAGAAATAGTGAAACAGACCTCAGATGCCATGTTTGATACAACAGCATCTCAGAGAAATTACAAGCTGCTGACTCAATGAACCACATCTATATGAGAGTGTACACCAATTCCATACTTAAAGGGATAGTTCACCCAAAAATGAAAATTCTGTCATTAATTATTCACCCTCATGTCATTCCAAACCCATAAGACCTTTGTTCATCTTCAGGATGACTTTCCAACCAATGCTGTTATCTTTCTTTATTCTGAATGAATATTGATATTTATAAACAGCTAGTCTCAAATCTATCGTGGTACTTTTATGGCATACATCAAAAATTGTAACTGACATGCACTGCCAGATACCATGCAATGCTACATGAAGTCAAACATATTATTTTTAGCAGTTACGTTTGGTGATGCTAGTAGTGCAACAAATACATCACCTTTATGATTTCTGAGAGTTGCAGATAAGTGTAAAAAACATTCCAGTGTCTTGAGAGAGAACAGTGGAGATGGACTATGGAGAATGTGATGCTGGATATACACTCTACAGCTGCCCTGTCCGGACTGTGCTATACATCCAGCAGTCTGAAATGTCATCATGTCTTAAACAGGGCCTTTGGCTGGATATTGTGTTCTTTTTGGAATTAGTCTATGCCAAGTGTGTGTTTTAGTGTGACAGTGTCTTATACAAATCACATAATGCATTTCACCTCTGTACCAGTCAAGAGTCAACCCTGCTCCAAATTTGCATACTATGTGTTCTAAATAATAAGTGAAATTTCCAACTTTCACATTTGGCATATGTGTGTAATTTATATTGCTGAACAAACCATGAGAATGCTTTTCTAAAAAACCCATCTGAATTTCCCAAGGGAACCCATGCCAAATTAGCCTTCCAGGTAGTCCCAATTATTGACATCATGACTGAACAACTGGTGCAACAATCAGGTTACAGAAGTAAAAATCCCATTCATTTTCTCCACAGGGGAACTGATTTTGAACCATAACGTATAAACCTTTAAAGACAGACCTACTGTGTGCTACGTGGCTGATAATCAATGGTATAGTCTGCAGTATTTTAACTTATATATAAATAGTTGTGCTAACAGATGAATTTCTGGTGAGAAACTACACTATCAATGATTTTGTGAGAAATCTCCACCAATCAAAGAATCAAAACAAGCAAATCAAGCCAAAAGAATGCTTTAGAGCTTGCACACTCCCATGAAGCACTGCAAATTTTGTGACAGTCAGTCTCCCTACTCTCTCAAACTATTGAAATATTTGTACATATGCATATTTTGCAATAAATTAAAAAATATGTTGCTGATATACACATAATCAACATCTTTAAATCGATAGTTTTATATTTATCTGTTGTTTTTAATTGAATTATGTCATTCGGATTATGTGATTCTTTCCCTTATTAAAGCCATTAATTACACAGTCATGTACCTAAATAATGTTAAAGGGGTCATATGATGTTGCTAAAAAGAACATCATTTTGTGTATTTGGTGTAATGAAATGTGTTTATGCGGTTTAAGGTTCAAAAAACACACTATTTTCCACATACTGTACATCATTGTTTCTCCACTATGCCCCACCTTTCTGAAACGTGTCGATTTTTACAAAGCTCATCGGTCTGAAAAGCGAGGTGTGCTCTGATTGGCCAGCTATCCAGTGCGTTGTGATTGGCCGAATACTTTAAGCGTGTGACAGAAATGTTATGCCCCTTACCATATTGTGATGCCGTGTCCGGCCAGAGCGACGAGACAAAAACATTAAAACCCATTATAAACGAGGCATTTGTTGCATCCAGTGGGAACATAATTACGGATTATAATGACTTGTACTGTCTTTTTACGCGTTGCGTCGCACCGCGTAAACATAAAACCATGTCTGCATTTGTGATCGGAGAAAGGACAAACAACAAGTGCTACTCTACACTGCTCAAAACTTGCGTTTAAATCATCAGTGGCCAGGTAGTCCCAATTATTGATATCATGACTGAACAACTGGTGCAACAATCAGGTTACAGAAGTAAAAATCCCATTCATTTTCTTCACAGGGGAACTGATTTTGAACCATAACGTATAAACCTTTAAAGACAGACCTACTGTGAGCTACGTGGCTGATAATCAATGGTATAGTCTGCAGTATTTTAACTTATATATAAATAGTTGTGCTAACAGATGAATTTCTGGTGAGAAACTACACTATCAATGATTTTGTGAGAAATCTCCACCAATCAAAGAATCAAAACAAGCAAATCAAGCCAAAAGAATGCTTTAGAGCTTGCACACTCCCATGAAGCACTGCAAATTTTGTGACAGTCAGTCTCCCTACTCTCTCAAACTATTGAAATATTTGTACATATGCATATTTTGCAATAAATTAAAAAATATGTTGCTGATATACACATAATCAACATCTTTAAATCGATAGTTTTATATTTATCTGTTGTTTTTAATTGAATTATGTCATTCGGATTATGTGATTCTTTCCCTTATTAAAGCCATTAATTACACAGTCATGTACCTAAATAATGTTAAAGGGGTCATATGATGTTGCTAAAAAGAACATCATTTTGTGTATTTGGTGTAATGAAATGTGTTTATGCGGTTTAAGGTTCAAAAAACACACTATTTTCCACATACTGTACATCATTGTTTCTCCACTATGCCCCACCTTTCTGAAACGTGTCGATTTTTACAAAGCTCATCGGTCTGAAAAGCGAGGTGTGCTCTGATTGGCCAGCTATCCAGTGCGTTGTGATTGGCCGAATACTTTAAGCGTGTGACAGAAATGTTATGCCCCTTACCATATTGTGATGCCGTGTCCGGCCAGAGCGACGAGACAAAAACATTAAAACCCATTATAAACGAGGCATTTGTTGCATCCAGTGGGAACATAATTACGGATTATAATGACTTGTACTGTCTTTTTACGCGTTGCATCGCACCGCGTAAATATAAAACCATGTCTGCATTTGTGATCGGAGAAAGGACAAACAACAAGTGCTACTCTACACTGCTCAAAACTTGCGTTTAAATCATCAGTGGCAAATTCTTTAACAGTGTTGTAAATACAACTTAACCACTGATTTCTAGTTGTGTCCTCTTTTGGAAGGCCAAACAAAGTAGTTTCGCTTTCAAAATGAAACACACAGCGGGCTAGAGTGAGCGGAGGCCAGCTTGAGTGAGCGGAGGCGGTCGGCCTTGAGTAGGCCGGCGGGCTTGAGGCAACCACATGTGACGACCCCGGGCTGGACTCCGCTTCGTCCACGGTGAAAGCCGATCCTCTTTGCGTGAACATTTGGGCGGCATTATGCAAATCTTCCCACACAGTGACGTAGACATGTGGGGGCGTGTTAGAACGAGCCGTTTTAGGTAGGTGTGGCTGACTCTTAACTTTTATAAAGAATATCTCTTTGGATTTGAGACTTTAGTCTTTGCAACTTTACAGATCTTCTTTATGCACCAAGAGCTTGTAACACTCCAAAGAGAAAGGAAAAATTGAAATCGCATCATATGACCCCTTTAAATCAAGAAACCAAAAATGGGTGGAGTCCTTCAACCACAACCTGCTACATCATTCATGCAAAATCAGGCAGGAAGGGGCCACCCACAGAAAACCATACCTTTGTTTATTTGAAAGTGTTGTAAAACAGGATTTCTGTCAATTGCGCTTTGCAATGCTTGCTGAAATTAACACATCACAAGCATTAAAAAATGGCTTACGAATGCTCAGCTTGCATAATGTGAGCATGTTCAAGCAAATAATGTGCCCACTGTGTCTTACTCTGTCTTTCCATCACTTTGTAGGCAGTCTGTATTGTCCACTTCCTTTCTGAAACTCAGCATAACGTTGACACCTCTGGCTACATGCAAGCTTGTATCAAATGGATGCTCTCAGATCCCGTCACATGATTTCTGACTCTCTTCAAAACGCTGGTCAAATAGAACACTAAACCAGACAAGAGAGAAGTAGAAGTTATGACAGTACTTCTGTCACTGAGAGGAAGTTAATGCAGATAAAGAACACTATTTGTATGGCTTATGCAGACTAAAATTACTTGTTCCTTCTTAAGTTCTCACTAAAAACTGCATGCATTCACAGTCTCAACAGTAGCTCACTGTGATTTAAAAAGAAAAAAAAAACAGTTGCTAAATAGTGTCACACTTCACACTTGGTGAAAACCACATGAAAAAATCAAGACGAGGACTTGGCGTTGACATCAGCAGACTCATAAAAGTATTTAATGCAAGAAGGCAAGTTTGCTTGAAAGCAACATTTTCCAGCTTTTCAATTATCAAAACGTTTTCATGTGAAAAATCCATACAATCCCAAGCCAACTAACACACAAACAATGTGCTTTGAGGTAACGCATTTAAGAGGAATGAACAGAGCAAAACAATGATACTACTGTGTTTGAAATAATTTGACACTGACAGCTCAAAATAACATGGTCTTCAAATCACAAGAAGAAAGCTTAAAAATGAAAGAAAAAAGGAAGGGGGAAAGCATATGACTTGCATTGTATTTCACTGTGGAGACCCCGTGGCCTGTCAATTAGAACCACATGCTCATACTAGTCCGAATCATTTCCACGAATCGGTTGTTTTGAACAGTTCATTAAAAAACAGATTCATCAATTATTTTATGTCATATCTTAATTGCGCCCTCAGGAGGTCTCTTGAAAGCAACACTTATTGCTACAGTTGCTAAATAGTGTCACACTTCACACTTGAAGTGAAAACCACATGAAAAAATCAAGACGAGGACTTGGCGTTGACATCAGCAGACTCATAAAAGTATTTAATGCAAGAAGGCAAGTTTGCTTGAAAGCAACATTTTCCAGCTTTTCAATTATCAAAACGTTTTCATGTGAAAAATCCATACAATCCCAAGCCAACTAACACACAAACAATGTGCTTTGAGGTAACGCATTTAAGAGGAATGAACAGAGCAAAACAATGATACTACTGTGTTTGAAATAATTTGACACTGACAGCTCAAAATAACATGGTCTTCAATTCACAAGAAGAAAGCTTAAAAATGAAAGAAAAAAGGAAGGGGGAAAGCATATGACTTGCATTGTATTTCACTGTGGAGACCCCGTGGCCTGTCAATTAGAACCACATGCTCATACTAGTCTGAATCATTTCCACGAATCGGTTCTTTTGAACAGTTCATTAAAAAACAGATTCATCAATTATTTTATGTCGTATCTTAATTGCGCCCTCAGGAGGTCTCTTGAAAGCAACACTTATTGCTTTTTACGTCTACGTTTTATTGTTCAAGTTTTTATTCATAAGGATGTCAGTCATGATTCAGCTCACAAAAGTCGTTTACCTAAAGAGAGTTTGCATTTACATTACACAAAAATAAAATTAATTTACATTGGTTCACTCCAAACAATGCTCGTATGATCATCTCATTTTGTTAATACAATTATTTGTACGATTCAACTCACAAAAGTCGTTTACCTAAGAGAGTTTGCATTTACATTACACAAAAATAAAATTAATTTACATTGGTTCACTCCAAACAATGCTCGTATGATCATCTCATTTTGTTAATACAATTATTTGTAATCGAACATGTCCAAGAGTTATTGGTTTAATGAGCCGTTGCATTTGACTCGACAAACGCTCGAACCGATTCAGTTCTAGTCGTGAGCAAATCGCTCAGTCCGATTTTGACTGATTCAACGAAAAGGTCCGACTCAAAGAACGATTCATTCACAAATCAGAAATCGCTTGCTATTACAGCTGATTTAAATAACTGTGACATGACAACGGTAATAATGAGTTTGACTTAGTTGCCAGAGGAAAAAAAAAACAATTAAGATTTGTTGTGTCTCTAAAGTACAGAAAACACTTTAACTCATTCACCCCGCCACATATTCACGCTCAAACTGGCAACCCAGGAAGTGGGGGAGCCTCTGCTTCCCCTGAAAGTTGGCACCGTTTGCACTTTTGTGGATGAAACAGTGGTTTTAAACATAACACTTTATCCAATCAACAATAAACTCACATAATAATTACAAGTTTGCGGCAATAAATAAATCACGGGAAATCTGGTCACAAATTAGATCCTCGAGTCGGGCATTTTAGAAAGCAACGAACACTTACCGGTGGTTTGCGTCTTTTTCTCTGCGTCCTCCGCTTACGAACCAAATACAGCAACGATCATCATCATCATCATGAAGCATCTACACAGAGGAACACAAGTTTTGGGCCACTCCTTCATGGCAGAAAGCACACACAAACACAACTTCTCTCCACTGTTTCCGCCCAGCGCGTGCTGCCGACAACCCATCACATTCGCAAGAAGGAATGACATTAAAACCGTATCGCTTTAACAATGGATGCAAAAATTCAGTACGTCTCAGCAGTATCACATCTCTTTAAAAGAGGGAAGTACAGCTCAATGATTTGAATAAGACGTGATATCTTCTAATCCGTTTCTTTACCCAGTTTTTCTTCCTCCACCAATACAACAGACTCTCCGTTCCCTTTATCCGGGACATTCGTCTGTGATGCAACGTTTCCAGATGTGTGCGACTGCCTCGAGCTGAGCTCAAACATCTGTCAAACTCTAACTCTGCACACAGTGTGTGACAGAAAACGCTTGAGCGCTGACTGTATGAAAGTATGGGAAATGTAACAGGCGTGTCAATCAGATTTAAATTCAAATACATTCGCTTGTAATTCACACATTTCTGGTCATAGTGAGAGAAAAAAATCTGCAAAAATGCCTAGAACACAAAACATTTGCTAAACCACTAAAGCCAAACTAAATTTTAGGCATAAAAGCAATTATAAAAAAAATAATAATAAAATAAGAGAGAGAGAGAGAGAACCCAAACACTGTGATATTAGTTTATTATGCATTACAAGACAAATGTTCAATTTTTCAATCAGGCCTATATGCTTAATCAAAAAGCATGTTAAAACTAAAAATTAACCATTGAATAATGTATATATATAATATAGTTGCCCAAATACACAGTGACATGTACCGTCAGGCAAATGTAACAACAGCAACATCATCAGCTTCAACCATTTGTCTGCTATTTAGGTTTCGTTCTTTTTTTGAATGAGCAGTTAATCAAATACAGTTTATTCATTCTTTTCTCTTTAAATATCAAGTGATTCAAGTACATTGGTTACCATGGAAAACACAGACCAAGAAAAATAAAAACAAATAAAAATATAATAAGCTCTTATGTAAAATAAATGACACACATTCTCATATTTCTCTGCTTCCATGCTTAATTCTGACAAGTTATGCATATACATAGGCTACAGACATTCTAGGTTAGGAGCAAGCAACCGTATTAACACAAATACTTTAAATGAAGAGAAAAAAAACAGTGTATGCGTTTTATTTTCCAGTTGTTGACTAAGTTCACTGTTCCATTAACATCTGGTCTGATCAGGCATCCCCTATGCTACAGCTCAGCAGAGAGTCAAGGCACTCCAGTCCCTGGCTTCATTTGGGCCTTTGGGCTCTCACAGCATGCTGAGCTCGATCAGGCATCCGGCAAACACTCCTAGTGTGCCAATAATACACACCGCCATAAACACACATAGAAGAATGTGATCCAGGACCATAGCGACAAATTTCCATTCCTCTGCAGCCTTGATGAACAGACAGAAAGAAAGACACAAGTAGTCAGTTAAAGGTCGAATATGAATGTAGAGTAAAACAAAACTTCTTTTCAAAGAGATGCAAAAGTGTCAGGAATAACAAAAAAAGATGAAGGTAAATGTTCTTACATTGTTGGACTCCTCGTCACTTTTCATGGTGTCTGCGATGTATTTAATACCCTCGATGGCACTACGCACATCAGGATTTTTGGTTATGGGAGAGTGGTAAGTGACAGAGGCTGGCATGGGTTTCCCTGAAATGTCAGAGATGTCAAAATCTGCAGGAAAGAGACGCTTTTCCTGTCGTTCCTGGGATGGTCGCTTCATAGTGGAGAAAAACATCAGGTTTGGAATGGTGTCTATGAAGATCTGTGGGACAGAGGAGAAAGTCAATATACTTCTCTGATCAGAATCTCAACAGGTTTATCAATAGCTCAAAGTAAACAAAAAATACCCCCAAATACATGTCAAGTTTAGAAATAAGTGAAAATCTTAAAAGAAAAAAAAAATAATAATAAAGTATGTAATTTCTGTTCCACTAGCAGCACTAAACAGGACTGCAAAAATAATGATTCCCATGGTTGGAAAATCTGGATTTTTAATTAAACTATGTAACTTCCAAAAATAAGTGCCTTTGTTAATTGAGGTGTACAATTTTTCAAGGTAAAAACAAGTGACTAAAATGCTGTGGAAGAAATCATCCACCCTTACAAAAATGTTAATTTTATTAAGTAAACATAGGTAAAGTTCAAGTATATTTTCCAACTATAAATTATATAGCAAGTACACTAAAATAAATGTACTAGTAGTAGTATACTTGTAAGTGTACTTGGGAGTAAATTGGCCAATGTTTTAGTTTACACTTTTACGTGTATTTTAGGTGTAACAGTAGTAAACTGAGTACACAATTAGTAAACATGTAAGGATTTCTTTTGTATTCCAAATACACTGTGAACTATACTACAAGTGAACGTATAGATATATACTGCTGATATACAGTTTACTAGTTACATGCTTCTATCCCACTTTTTTAGTAAACTACTAGCGTAATAGTTTTTATACTACAAATACTTCCAAGATTTTAAGGGAACTTAATATACGTTTTTACAGTTTATACATTTGTTTATTATGTTTACAATTAATTTATTTATATATTTTTTAATTATATACACTATTTATATATTATTTTTTAACTTTATATATACTACTAGGTTCCTGCTATTTTTTATGCTCTAACTATACTTTAAGTAGATTTTCATTTAATTTCCATGTATACTACCTTTGGATTAATGCCAATGATTTAAGGGTCTTGCTCCTATTGCTATTTGACTTGATGTTTTGTGATGAGATTTAAAATAATTTATTCTGCTAATAGAAGCCAGTATAAATCAGGTCTGTTACAACACTCTAACACTCTCAGATAATTAGCTGTAAACTAAACTCTAAATTATGTTACTTTAAATTATGACTTTTTCCCTGGAACACAAAAAGAGACACTGCTCCTTTCCATACGTACCTTGCGGACCCAAGCAGGCATAGTGTGTGTGCTGGGGGAGCGGTGGTGTGTGTTGATGACAATCACAGTTATGATGATGGAGGCAATGACAAAGATCATGGTGAAGAGCATGTATTTGCCAATGAGTGGAACAGCACTGGAGGTGACTGGTGATCACGTGTGTATGGTGTTATAGTTACTGGGTTGATAATGACACGGTTGCCATCATAAGTCCACGTTCCAAGTTTCATGCTGCAGTTTTGCAGGTCGAAGGGAAAGTGAAGGACCACAATCTCATAGTAGCTCTTAAAGATTGCTGGGGGAGTCCACGTTATCATACCTGTGTGCTCCAACAAGACTTTTGTCTCATGGACGATGGCAAAGTCTCCATCAGCACTGAACATACACATACACAAATAAAGAAAGATATCAGATCAAGTATATATATACATATTTCAAGGCATTTATATCACCTGATTGATTCACACTAACATACTACAGATGCAAAGAGTGAAAGTTCTGGACAAAGTGACTCATACTTGTTATAAAGCACTAAATCCGGTTTCCAGATGTCAGTGGAGGGAATTCTGATCTTCCTGATGCCACCGTAGTCATCAGGATTCCACTGCAGATTCACATCCTTCCATTGCTGAACATCAGATAAGGAGAAAAAGATATCTGTATTAATGACTCCTGACTGCTCTAAGTAGGTACTGTCATGTACAATTTGAATTTTGAAAGATTTATGAATTATGGCAGCATTTGTTGAACTGCCTTTAATTCATTAAATTAATAAACAAAATCACTGCAAACTATGATTTCTTACTTTTCCGTATAAGCTGAAGTTGAAATGTGACCTCAACATTTCTTGACAGGTTTCATGACATTTTTGAAAGTATGTGGCACATTAAAATAATTTTTGTTCTAGTACAAAATCTTACATGTGTTATAAACATTGCCTAAATCTCAAGTTATTGTTCATATAGATAAATTTTCCCACAGTAAGCACCTTGATATCTACTGATATCTAGTTTGATAGCAGCACACAGGAACTGAAACAGCAGCTGAAACCCGCACCTGCTTTAGCCGTACATTACTGGTCACAATCTGATTAACTTCATCCTGTAAATAAGAAAGAAAAGAAAGGTAATGGAAGTTAAGAGAAAACAAAAAGTTTATTTGTGCAATGTAAACGTTTTTTAACATTTGAATAAAATATGAATATGAATTCAAGAAACAAAAATGAACAGAGATATAATTTACCACGCTGATAAGCTGAATGAGTTGTAGTCCCACAGTAACCACTACTGGATCCTTTAAAATGGCTAACAGGACGAACAACCTTGTTATATCCGGTAAACAGAGTCCTTACTAATCTCGTCTCATCTTCTGAGCACAGTGCTGGTCCTGCAACACACACACACACACACACACACACACACACACACACACACACACACATTTAGTTGCTCTGCGAGAAAAAGTTATCACCCCACTCTTCTTATACACAAACACACATGTCCATCCTAAATGGCACAGAGGATTAACATTGATGGAGTCAAGCAACTGCATATGACACACACACAGATGAAACACTAAGACATGCAATCTATGTCTGAGTAATGTCACTATTAACCAGAACTAAGAAATAATGCAGAAATTCTGTTTGTAAAGAATCATCTTCTTTACATTTCTGAGCCATGTTGTTCTGAGAATAATGAACTAAAAATGTCCATGTTTCCATATGTTAATGACAGAATGTGACCATTTCAATTGCAATCTTGACTTGATTTCAACATCAGCACTATTGTTCCATCAGTTTGAGTAGGCCTACTGGTAGTCTGGTGAATGTACTCACACAGGTAAATGAGTGAGCTTTTGGGTCCACATTTACATTTACAGTATTTTAGATAAACCATCAAACGAAGAGCTTTTTTTTTTTTTTAAGTTTAGGCCACAACCTATATCAGATTTATAGTCAACAGTATCACTCCTCCCTGCTGAATAAAGCCTTGATTTCAGCCTCATCTAAGAGGTTGTGCAAAAAATAAACAGAAAATATAGCGCGAGAGAAACACTGCTGCTCGTGCGTGCTGCTGGGTTTAAACTTAAAGCGCTATGTTTATACAGTTGCACATAACTATCAAATGTCTTTAATGTAAACATTTCAGCTGCTCTTTAAAAAATGATAAAATATGTCCACCGAATATTACTTGTACCTTGCCCTGACCTCTTGAAATGTTGCAGTATGATCAAAAAAAAAAAAAAAAGCATTCTAGTGTCGCCCCCTTGCAGTTGCATCATGATGAACTCTCACTGTGAGATAAAAATGACATTTTTTTCCCGTGGCGGAAAAAAACGGGGAGATGTAAACCCAGGATTCTGAGGGGGAAAAGAAAGAACT